CAAGTCATGTGTTCAGCAGTGGCTTGAGATGCATAAAGCCTTTGCAATTTAGGGATTAAGGGCAGATAAAACATTTGCTTGTATGGTCTACGCTTCTGATTACGACCCTACCTCCTGTTAATCTTGTACCTATGTTGGCTATAAAATTTGCAAGATTCTGCATTTTCGTCATCTCTCCAATATAACATACAACCCCTACTAAATACATCAATCCTTACATCTGGAAGACCTAAGTTATCCACTAGCTTCTTCATATCGTCAAAATCACTTGGCATGATGTTATCACGAGGCATTGTTTCCCGCATTACTTCAACAAAAGAGTTGAAGCAATTCTCAGACACATTATGCTCTGCCTTGATATTTAACAGTCTTGCTGTCACTGATAATTTAGTGTGGTCGTCACAACCTGCCCATAAATGTTCATCTGCTGCTTTCAACACTTCCCAAAGCTGATTAAATGGAAATTTCTATTATGCACATTCTCGTCAAAACCTGTTACTCCTATCTCTTCCAATTATGATGCATGACTAGTACCCACTTGTTTAAGTGTAGGAGTAAAACTAGTACTTGCATGTTTCGATTTTGAAACAAAATGCTGACCACCTGCATCAATCACCATCATCTGGTATGGGTTCAATTGGTTATAATATCTACATTCTTCCCTAACTAAAAATCGGTCACTTCTTCGATATCCTTCATCAGATATAAATGGTTCACCATGGCAAGTCTAATTATAGTAGTTCGGAGTAAACCCAAATCTACAAAGATGTTCTCTAACTTTATTACACACATAAAATTTACCATTACTGCACTTTTTACACGGACACCTTAACTTATTTCCATCAATGAACTCAAATTTACTACTAGCAAAGTCCAAAAACAGTTCCAACCCAGTACGAAACTCATCGGTCAATCCTCGATGTCCAGGTAAGTTCTTATTGTACATCCAAACCCTGTCTCTTTGCATTGTGTCTGTATAAAAATTAAAAAATCTCATAAAATATTAAAAATATCCTATCTACTATTTAATATTCTAAATTAAAATCGTAAAATTCTAAAAATTAAAATTGTGTTTTTGACGAAACAATTACTTTGAAATTGAAAAAAAATGAAAAAATTACCATGTCAAGAAGACTTACTCAAGTATTTAACTGAAATCTTTGTAGTATAATGTGCTCAATTTGATGAGAATTGCAACGTTCACTTGGATTGCAAGACCTTCAAATGGATGCGTACCTAAAAAAAAGAAAAATTACTTAATAATTTTTTTTTTGAATTTTTTTCCCTATATTCTTCGCCGGACCGGCGACCGGCTGAGGCCGGCGAGTTCGACCTCGCCGGCCATGGCGTGGCTTGGGCGAGGTCGAGTGGCCATGGCGAGGCCGATCGACCTCACCATGGCCGCTCGACCTCGTCGTCGCCTAGATCTGTGGCGACGGTGAGGTCCAGAGGTCACCTCGCCGGCCTCAGTCTCTCGCCGGACCGGCGACTGGGGGGAAGAAGATAGGAAAAAATAAAAAAAAGAGAGAAAAAAGGTCAAAAAAATAAAAAAATTTCGAAATTTCCGACGAATAGTTTTGCGACGAACTGTCTTCGTCACCAATTAGCCACAAAATTAGTCACGACATTTACCGGCGGAAAAGCTTTACCGAGACTGATTTGCACACACGCGAAGAGGTTTATCAAGAGAAACGAAAGAGGGAGAGGGAGGGAGAACAGTGAGAGGGGATATGAGGAATCAGCAGCGAGAGAGAAAGAGAAATTGGGGGTGAGGGTGGGTAGATTACAATTAGCGACGAATTTAACGATGAATATCGTTTGTCACTAATTAGCGACGCTCAAATGCAAAATGTGGCAAATATCATTGCTAATTAGTGACGAATACACTTTTGTCGCTAATTAGCGACGAATCTATTATATTTAAAATTCAGCAAATAAAAAATTTAGCGACGAATACGATTTGTCACTAATTAGCGACGAAAGTGCCACGACAGTTATTTTTCGTTGCAAATTCCGTCGTAAATTAGGGACGAATTATTTTTCGTCGCACATTCCGTCGTAAATTAGCGATGAATTTTTTTTTCCATCGCAAATTAGCGACGAATATAGTTTTCGTGGCAAATTCCGTTGCAAATTAGCGACAAATTTACTTTTCGTCGCTAATTTGCAACGAAAAAATATTAGTCGTAAATTCCGTCGCTAATTCGCGACGAATTTGTTTTCCGTCACTAATTAGCGACGAATTTGTTTTCCGTCGCAAATTTCGTCGCTAAATAGCAACGAATTTTTTTCATCGCAAATTAGCGACGAATTTTTTTTTCGTCGCAAATTAGCGTCGAATATTTTTTCGTCGCAAATTAGCGACGAGTTTAGTTTTCATCGCAAATTCCGTCGGAAATTAGCGACGAAAAATTTTTCGTCGCTAATTTTCCGTGCAATCCTTGTTTTTTTGTTGTGAACCTCAAGTTTCAAAGCCTCGATCGTGGCTTCATCCTTCTTGAGTTCTTGGACTTCCAACTTCAAAGCTTCAACCGCGGCTTCGAGGAATCGTTCTCAATCAAAGGGGCCGTGCCTTGATTCACGATGTTCGTTGTCTCGACCCGGAGCATCTCCTCTACTTCGTTGATCCGCTTCTTCACCTCGTTTGAGTCCGTCCATCAGTGCAATCATGTTGGCCTTCATTGTAGCGAGCCTTTCCTCGAGAGCGAACATGACATCCGTTGAAACTCCCCTCTTTTAGGATCTCCCACGGGTCTCCTTCTCTTGTACAACCTTTTCTTGGGGAGCCTTGGCGTTGACAACTTCGGGGTTGGAGGCCATTGCCAAAAGATTGTAGCTCTGTTACCACTTGTCACGGGATGATTCTTCCGATTGCGAACCGTATGATAGTTAGACCTCCAATCACTTTGTTTGGCCTACGTGAGCCTTATTTTCACTCTCACTCTCACTCTCACACTCAAGGAAGGGATTTCTTAGAGAGAGAAAGTAGAGAAACTCTAGAGGATGCTTGTATTGGTCAAATGAAGCAGATGATACAAATGAGGGGATGTCTCTTTTATTTATATAAAAGTCTATCTAATTGCAAGCATTGATCTCGGGGGAAGAACACTAGAAGTGCCAAAACTTGTATACGGCACTTACTTTAGTGCCAAAATTTTTTTTCGGATCACATAAGTGCCGCTTTTTAAAAAAAACGATAACTTAAGTTCCAACTTCGATTTGGGTCGCCGGAAATCTGACGTGGCCATATTTTATTAATTTCTCAGTCCTACGTGGCACGTCGGCGCTGACGGGGATAATATTTAATAATATTTTAATATTTTTTCCGATTTTAATATTTTTTTTCCGATTTTTAAAAGAAAAGAAGGAAAAAAAGAAAACAAATCAGAAAAAATATTTAAAAAATCGAAATATACACATGGCAATGCCATGCAGACTGATTTTTTTTTAAAAAAATCCAACTCAGATTAAAATTTTAATTGTAAAAGCCACGTATTAATTTGGCCGGAATTTCTCGCCGTTGGCACTTAAGTGATCGTTTGTCCTCTGATTTAGCACTTAAGTGAGCCGGTGAAAACTTTTGGCACTAAAGTGAGCGCCGTACACAAGTTTTGGCACGTTTAGTGGGATTTCTAGTGTTCTTCTCCCCATTGATCTCCTATGTGATCTAACGATAGAGGATTTCAATCCTCGACTAATTGATCCAACGGTAGAGATCCACTTGTTCTAGCAGGCGTGGATGTTGATCCTCGTCACATGAATCCGATGGTGGAGATTGAATCTATTCGATGGTTGAGGGCATCACTCCTCGTCAAACAAATCTAGTGGTGGAAATCGAAGCTCCTTGCAATCTAACGGCATTGATGAGCCCTTTTGGATCAATGATGTGGTGTTCCTTTGTGTTGTGCGCGGAAGTGTGGAGGGCGATGGAATCAGGACACGGAACAGAGTGGAAGAAGAGAATCAATACGAGAAGTTTATGTGGTTCGGTCCGAGTCTCGGAACCTACATTCACGGGGAGAGCCAACAAATAATCCACTATCAAATCGGAGGAGGATTACGGAGTTCACAATTACTCGCGGTCAAGTGTTTCCGTGCCCTATAATTACACCCGAAATCCATGGTGTTTAACCTCATGTAAACACTCAAAAAAGTACGTAAATATATGCACAAACACAGGGATCTTCAAGAGAGCACCTTCTTGCTCTCACTTCCACACGCGAGCTACAGCTCTCACCTCCTTCTGATGAGAGCTTCTCTCTGTCTCCACCTTTGGCCTCACATCGTGGTCTCCCTCCACCTTGCTCACTAGCTTCCTCTTCTGTTTTTTAAAGAGAAGCCAACGTGGAGAGAGAGGACAACAGAAGACAAGATCTTCTTTTGGCCGAAGAAGAGCTACGTGCTCTTCATTTCTCCTCTTCTCGGTCAAAGTCAACAATGATGGTTTCTCCTCTCGCCAAAGAACAGAGTCAAAGAAGCTGCTCATTTTCTTCTTCCTTCCTGCACGTTCACATGGCCTTTGTCAAAGAAGACAAAAGGCAAGAAGGGAACACATTTAATGCAAAGTGGCCCGCCGCCACTTTCCTCCATTCATCCACGAAGATGACCATCACATGCATTCTTAAATACATCAAAAGAAAGAAACAACTCCTTTGGCTCCACCGCACTTCTGCTACACCGAAGATTTAATGACCATGCGAAGCGTGCTTCTTAATATACGGGCTTAAACTCGAGATATATTTTAACACTTTGGATTGGTGACGTGGTGTTCCTTGGTCCGTGATGCTATTCCAAACAAACATTGTAAACACCAATGCAAGGAAACTCCATTCAATCGCATGAACCAACAAGCATGTCCAAACATTTAATGAACGTTAAAAAGAAGCCAGGTATAACTCTTCTTTAAACACTTGGAAAGAGCTTTGTGTGATTGGAGAAGATAACAAAGTTGACCTAGCTAGCTCCTGCTCATAACAAATTAAATAATGCTCGAATGACAACTAGTCAGATAGTATGTCCCGAAGTCATAGTCCAATCAAATGACACGATTTTCGTCTCCCCAATCAGAAGCAAAGGAATGCCAACTTATGCCATTTGCTTCGACTGCATCCAAAACATCATCGTCAAAGGAAACCACCCCGTTGCTTCCCATGCATTCGCAACGGACAATGACTTCCATTAGTTTGTATAATCTCCTCCATCATCTTTATAACCCGACCATACCAATTACACAACAAAAGCATTAGATTGCTGCATCCGAAGTTTGTTTCTTGAAGAAACAGAGCTTAGTGACGAGCGACCATGCCGCTGAAAGTTCTGTCTGTGCTCGACACCGCCAAGATACGGTACTACCACTTCAAGGCCATCATTGTGGCAGGTAAATTAACTTGTTTATTTCACATCTCAATCCCATTAATTAGTACTCACGACATGAATTGTAATGTTTCGTGAATCCGTTTTAATTAGTTACTGTGTGCATCTTTAATATGATTATCTTGCTTACGGAAAATGCATCGTTCTATTTCACTCGATATGATTCCAAGTTTCTGTGTAATGCTTGATAAAGGGATGGGGATATTCACCGATGCCTATGATCTCTTCTGTATTCCGCTGATCACGAGACTGCTCGCACACATATACTATACATCCCACAACTACAAAATCCCGCATCCTGTGGAAGCATCCATGCTGGCTGTTGCTCTCCTGGGCACCGTGATCGGTCAACTTGTATTTGGCCGGCTTGGCGATCGAGTAGGGAGGAGGCGCGTGTATGGCCTTGCCTTGATGCTCATGATGGCCGGTTCCTTCGGGTGCGGATTCTCCATGGGCACGACACGAGGCCGTGTCCTGGCGAGTCTAGGGTTTTTCAGGTGATCGTAGTGCCAGAACTCGCCGCTGTGTCCCGTTGTATATAATTAGTCTCTATTCAATTTTTCTGAGTACTCAAAACACACGAGCATTGCTCTTTAATTCTTTTCAGGTTCTTGCTCGGGGTAGGGATTGGAGGAGATTACCCGCTCTCTGCGACGATCATGTCAGAGTATGCTAACAAGAGGATGCGTGGCGCATTCATAGCAGCCGTCTTCTCAATGCAAGGGTTTGGCATTCTGGCGAGCTCCATTGTCACCATGGTGGTGTGCAAGATATTTGGCCATATTTACCCTTTGCCGCAGAAAGATCCCATGCCAAATGAAGCTGATATCGCTTGGAGGTTGATATTGATGCTGGGTGCTGTTCCTACCGCATTAACATACTACTGGCGGATGATGATGCCTGAAACTGCAAGGTATGTACAGACCTTTCTTTGCTTAATTGATTGTTTAAATTGATTAATTAATTGATCGTGTCATTTTGTTGATAAAGAGCTGTTTGGTCTATGGTATTTACGGTTATGATCAAGCATGTCTCTCTTTGGTTGGTGGAATTGTGTTAGTCCTCCTAGAGACATTGTCCCCGTAAATTCTTAGAATCAATTGCTGGGTGCTGCAGAGAATAGGATAGGTTACTCGGTCGATGACATAAAAGACTGAACCAGAGAATGGCGAGTCGTGCCAAACAATTCGTGTCAACTGTCGAGTCTGTGTTATTTCAAACCTTGACATTTTTGTAGAACATGTTTGACATAGTGATATATTTAAATTCGTGTCGTTATTGAAAAATTTGCTAGTATCAGCTTCCATATGTCAAAATTGTGCCATAATTGATCGGTGCCTTTAGAAAACGCTTGCACAAAATGGGTTCCGTGAATCATGGGAATCATCATAATTGTTGAAGAACTTTCCATAGCAACTCATTTCTAGATCGCTATGAGATAGGCAGAGTCAATCATTGCTATGTATTTTTGTGGTATAATTAGGTACACCGCTTTGGTGGAGCTAAATGTGCATAAAGCTGCCCGGGACATGGAGCCGGTCCTAGACGTGTCCTTGAGCCAGATTACCGAGGACCATCCCTTCCCGCAAAAACCGCCATCCTACCCTCTCTTCTCCAAGCAGTTCTTCCTCCTTCACGGCCGTGACCTCCTTGCCTGCTCTGCCGCGTGGTTCCTCCTCGACATCGTCTTTTACATCAATAACCTCTGCCAAATTCATATCTACAAAAAGTACCTGTACGATGAGAAGGCCGGCAAAACGCTTACCGCCTTCGAGGCAGCCTTTGAGGTCGCGAGGCTCCAGGCCATTGTGGCGTGCTACTCCACAATCCCCGGCTACTTTGCCGCTGTCTTCCTCATTGACCGCATTGGTCGGGTCAGGATCCAAGCAGTCGGGTTCCTCTTCATGGCTATCGTTTACTTCTCCATCGGAAACATACCTTGGAAGAGCAACACGGGTGGGCTTATCATTTTCCTGCACAGCCTGACCTACTTCTTCGCCAACTGCGGGCCCAACACGACCACATTCATTGTGCCTGCTGAGCTATTTCCCGCGCGGTTCAGGTCAACGTGCCATGGGATCGCCGGGGCTGCGGGGAAGGTCGGGGCAATGATCGGCGCGGTGGGGTTCTTGATGGCCTCGCATGACGAGGACCCAATTGGGCATAAGATGACGAAGAGGATGAAAGTTGTGCTGAATGTATTGGGTGGGATTTGCGTGGCGGGGATGGCGGTGACCATGTTGTTCACGAGGGAGACTATGGGGAGATCGCTTGAGGAGAATGAGAATGAGAATAAGGATGAGTCTGTTCAAGAGGCAAGTGATCTCAATCGTTCATGATTTAAAAACGATCATGCTGTGTATTTTTGCATTTGTCCTATTGTTGACACAAGCCCCCAAAACCTGAGCCCATGTATAAAATAGTCAATGGCCCAAAAGAAATCATGACAACTACACCATCCATAAAACTCGTCAATTGAATGCTAAATAAACTCATCAATCATGAAAGTCATAACAGTACGATCCACAAAATCCATCGATGAAATGCCTATGTAAAGCTCATCAAGCATGAATAACATAATATTTCATCCCCATAGCCGATTGATGAAATGCCTAAATGAGCTCATCAATCAGGAAGGATATAACAGTACAATTCACAAGTCCCAACAATGGAATGTTTGATGAACTCATCGATTATGAGTTTCCAATAAAAAGAGCTTAAGGAAAGTACATGACAGATGGCCGGGGAAATTACCCAAAAAGCCCTAAATTTATTACATTTGTGCTATTTCAGTCCTAAAATTTTCAATTTGGCCATCCTAAACCTATTGTATTTATGTCAATTTAGTTAGTACTATACCTTTTGACGATTTATCAATAATTAGACAGAAATCGTTAACGTGGTAGTCTAGTTAGTGCCGGCCGTCTTACGTGGCACGCCGGTGCCGATGTTGATAAATTTTAAATTTTTTTTAAATTTTCTGAATTTTTTTATTGTATTTTCTTTTTTTTCTTCTTTTCTTTTCTTTTTCTTTCCCTAACCCTAGGTCGGTGAGAGCCATGACGCCCTCGCCAGTTAATGGGTGAGGGTGTCGCAGCCCTCGCCGGCCAACAGGTAAGGGTTGCGGCCTACCCTTGCTTGGATGTGGGTGAGAGCTCGGCGCCCTCCCCTGTGGCAGGTGAGGGCGCCTGTTGTCGGCAAGGATTGGCCCATGACTTTGCCTGCTTAAAGTTAGGAAAAAAAAGAAAAGAACAAAGAAAGGAAGTAAAAAAGACAAAAAAAAACAAATAAAAAATTCAGAAAAATTTAAAAATTGTCCACATTATCGCAAGCTGTGCCATGTAGGATGACCGACGCTGACTAGACTGTCACGTCGGTGTTTCTAATCAAAATTGGCCGGAAGGACCGAATTGGCACAAATATAATAGGTTGAAGACTTTTTGCCACGATCATGCACGGTGAGTTCAATTTTGAGTCATAGAGAATTGATTAACCAAGGCATAACGGCAACTAAGGAACCAAGAGCAGTAAAAAATTATCCATAACCAAGAGCAGTAAAAAATTATCCATAAAGTAGTTTGCAAGTCAAGGCAGTTTAGAGATTGTTGCGGAAAATATCCTGATGCAAAATGAAATGGCTCGAAAAAGATACAGAACGAATTAACACACACACACACACACACACGTACATACATACATACATACATATATATACATACATACATATATATATCTGGATATCCCTTAGCACATTCAGCTCAGACAATACACTACGAGCAAGAAACACACAACATGAATCGAGACATCAGAAATTAGGGAAAAGTGTTGAAAAAGTCATAAACCTTTTGCATTGATGCTAACTTAGTCCTAAATCTTTTTTTGGTGTCAATTGAGTCCTAAATTTTTTGTTTTTGTGCCAATTCAGTCCTTCCGGCTAATTTTGGCCGGATTTTGCTGACGTGGACACCGGTCGGCCGGCGGTTGGTCACTGGGGCTGACGTGGACAAATTTTAATAATATTTTAATATTTTTTTGAATTTTTATTTCTTTATTTCTTTTCTTTTTTTTTCCTCCTCCCTCTTCCTCTAGCCGGTCGCCGGACCGGCGACCGGCCAGAGGCCAGAGGTCGGTGAGGTCTGACGAGCCACGAGCTAGCCTCTGGCGAGCAATGTCGGCCATTGGCGAGGCCCGACCTCGCCAGATCTGGTGAGGTTGTGCCTCGCCCAGCCGCCGGTGAGGCTCGACCTCGCAAGATCCGACGAGGTCGGGCCTCGCCTGGCCATGGCGAGGGCTCCCCCGGCCCGAGGTTGCAGGGGCCCTCGCGGCCTCTGGCGAGGGCCGGACGAGCCTCGCCGGATTTGGCGAGGTCGAGCCTCGCCCGGCCATGGCGAGGGCCGGGCGAGCCTTGCCAGCCCAACGCGAGGCTGCCCTCGTGGCCATCCGGCGAGGGCGAGCCTCACCCGTGGCTGGCATGGCTTGCCAGAGGCCGGCGACCGGCCGGAGAAAGAGGGAGGAGAAACAAAAAAAGAAAAAAAGAAATAAAAAGAAATAAAAATTCAAAAAAATATTAAAATATTATTAAATTTTGTCCACGTTAGCGCCAATGACTGGCCGCTGGCCGGCGGACGTCCACGTCAGTAAAATCCGGCCAAAATTAGATGGAAAGACTGAATTGGCACAAAAATAAAAGATCTAGAACTCAATTGGCACCAAAAAAAGGTTTAGGACTAAATTGGCACAAATGCAAAAGGTTTAGAACTTTTTCAACACTTTTCCCTTAGAAATCACGAAGAGCCCATCTGAGTTTGAAGAGAAGAAGATTACTTGCAACACGTCGATTTTGGGATTGAATTCTGTCTAAGTTGGAATTTCAAATACAAATTAGATTTTAATGTTTCCAGTATTTGTCTTTGATTATGAAACCTTTCTGGTCGTGTCTTGTGAACTTTGCACATTCTCTATGCACTTCATTGATCTCCATTAAGAAGTTTATGTCCAATTCCAATCATCCAATAATCATGACATCCAAGAAAGTAAGTCATATATTGATTCAATGAATTCCTTGCAATTTCCTTATTTTTTTTCAATTTACTGTCTCGTATTATTTTAGTAATTCACACATTACAAGGTCCTTGAGGTTTCAAAGCATATTAGAATTCATTCACTTCTGATTCGATATTCAATTTCATCCTTTAATAGGTCATCGATCATCCCCGATTAGAGCTACTACAACAAGAAAAAAGTTTGTAACCCCTATATATACTTAATCATATTGGACTGAGTTCGGGTAAGCATTCTCGACAAGGACCAAACAATTAGATAGTCATAAATTGACGAAATCACACAAGAAGGGGGAGAATTATAACTTTTCATTAACGAAAATAAGTTCTCACAAGTCGAGAGATGCTTCTTAGATTAAATTGAATCTCTAGAACATGGATTGCTAAGGTCGTGGAAGTATATATGGGCACTCATACTTGATAAGTGAGTTAATAAAGAAAGGTCATTGTCTTGTGATATACCCAATTAGTATAATAAAAATCGATTATTGCTCATTAAAGTGTTTAACAAATTCTCAGAGGTCTCTCAATAAGGAGTTTTGTTGTTTCTTTTTTCACTTGGTCTTAAAAGGTTAAGAAGCCATCTTATTGATGCCCCATAGACCCTCAGGCTTTCATAAATTCCTCTTCGTCCTGATATATATCCCTTTGCGCCCCCACTTTGGGCGCCACGAGTTCTTCATTATGATGTAATCCAGGCCCGCAGATGAACAGTGTCCAATGGCTTGGGTTGGATCTAGGCAAACTAGTCGAACGGGTTGAATTGCATGTCTATGCCCATTCAAATGATCGGTCGTACGGACCACGAGCACATCACTTCGGCATCGACTGTGTAGGTTTGTACTTCATTACATTGTGCTGTATGAACGAACCTAAGGGACACGAGCCATTTCGATGGAACCATTTATTTATTAACCTTTGAATACAATAGATTTAATGTGATATAGTGCTTGCAATGTATCTAACCCAAAGGACTAATGATAATCCCTGAATTTTTTGAGGAATAGTATTACCAAATGAAGGGTGTCTAATCAGTTTAATAACGGAAGCAACATACTAAACACGCTGTAAAACTGGAAGTCTCTGCCTGATGGTTCGATGGCTGTGCTGAGAAGCTACTTCGCATTTGCCTCTAGGAGGCTCCCTTCATTGTTCCAGGCACGTCGCGGTAGCGGTCAATTGTCACTACCTACGTTCAATCAGGCGGATGGAGAAGAAGACGAATTAATCTCTTTGATTATTCCAAACAATTTCTGAATTGAACATACACATGTTTTCAACCTTTTGGCTTTGCAAGTACATACCTTGGTCATCTCACAGGTACCTTCCTCCATGATGTTAGGGTAGTCCTGTTCCCTGAGGACTCCACCATTGGAGACAATGAACGAGCATGCGTAGTCCATGAGACCCTTGTTGTATCGTTTGTCACAGTCAATAAGCTCTTGCGCGGACAACATTGTCAAGTTTCTGGTTACTATTTGGTTTATGCCCTCCACCATCGATACGACAGAAAATGGCCAACAACTACCTCGAGCCGAACAATGTTCAAATTTGTATAAACACTGCCATAATTACTCCTACACAGAAATATTAGAGATTCCTCTAATATGACTTCTTTACTGATAATAGGTGAATTTAATTTCAGACACTACAACCGATAATCCCGCTCACCTTGTGCATAGTGCTGTCCCATTGAGCTTACCATCACTCATTCGAACATGACATGAGCAACTAAATATTCTAAAAATAGAATAATTAACAACTTTACTTGACCACACTTCTTTGGGAGTCCTACATTCACTCGTAGTTGATAGGGATCTATTTACCAAGTAGCTCGCAGTAGTAAGCGCATCCATCATGAATTTCTTAGCCATTCCAGCACTAGAGAGTATTTTATAGGTCGTCTCTAGTAACGTTACGCTAATCAGTTCTGCAACCTGTTGTGGTTCACTAGCACCAGTGCGATGTTCAAGCACATCTCTATGCTTCAGTCTGCACATGCTTAATCATCTTACTAGTCTTAGTTTAACATCAAACTTGTGCCTTAGCACAAACACCCAAGTACTTCTCAAGTAGTTTTCCACAATTGTTAGAATATATTTGACACTTTTTTTCGAAGGAAATCGTGACAGCCTGCTAACATCCAAGTGAATCAACTTTGCAATCTCCACGGTTTTTCTGATAGTCGTACCAAATTGCACTTTCTTCTGCTTGCTTTAGTCATAGTAACTGCACACATTCAGTCGGTTAACAGCATAACTATATAGCAGATTCCTTTCATTCAGAACCTTCAAGCTTCTCTAGCTGATGTGCCCTAAACACACAGATTCTCA